ACAGATGCGTTGACAACCTTTTGAAAATTGGGTTCCGGCTACCTCACTCACCAGACGAAACGCGAAAGTATTTGTCATACTTCCTCTTTACGCTGGTCTTCTGTGAGGTCGTGGTACTTACCCGGACGACCCTGCCCATTCGTGCAACAGCCGGGGCTGCTGCGTGGCCCTACCACCGTTACTGATGAATGAATGAACGGGATGAATTATTACTTTTAAGACTATTACTTAGAAGATCACAGTACACATAATCTAAGCTACCTTCAGGCCACGCTACTCTGTGCGTACAAGTCATTCACTTATGTACTAAAACTAGTGACAGGAAGCAACGGAAGAACCATATCAATGTCGTGTATTGAATGATAATAGCAAATCTAAAATGTTGTGCTAATTGTCCAATTCATAAATGTCACTTATATAATATCAACACATGTTTGAACCACACCGTTCTGTGCTGATTTTACGTTTAATATAGTAACGAAACACATATGCAACCCTCTATGCCCTATTAAAACTCTCGTCAAACAGTAAATTTTGTAGCCTTACAGTAAAAAAACTATGAAAAATTATATTCTATCGTAGGGAATTCAATTTAAAGAAATAAAGAAAATATCGAATAAAATGCAGTGTGAACATGTTTAACGTAATATCATTTAGATAAGAAGATCGCAAGTGATCAAACGATTAATTTTTTATTGTAAAAGATGGCAACTGAACATGTAGTTTAAACCGCAGCAAGTATCCTTATTTACTGCTGTTAATATCATATATAATTATTTATCACATCACATTACATATATTGTTTATTATTTTGTATAAATTTGGCGGGAAATACCACCTTCATCCACTTTACGCTAGTCTCCAGTGCGGATGTGAATCTTCCGCAATCTGTTTTGGGCTATCCCTGCATATCTTAACTGTTGTTCTATCACATCAACACTTGTGGTTATAGTCAAGCGAAGCAAGTTTAAAAGATAATGATAACTTTCCCTTTTCTATAGCAAAGGTCTTGCAATTTATAATAGAGAAACGCACTTGCACGACTCACTCCTCTCTCACCCATTCCGTGTGTCGTTTAACCTTGTACAAAATTAAACAATGCAATTAGCCATCCGCCTGTCGAAGGGACGTAATCAACGTGTGCGGGGTCGCGGAAATTGGCTGGCGGATTTTGATTCAGGGCCATAGAGTTTGTCGAGGTTGTCCAATCTTCAAAATGACCAAACAGATTTTCACAATTAACCGAAAAACAGGATTGTTTGACTGTTACCACTGCAATGGTTAATAAAATGTGGATCATAAAAATGTATACTTAACAGTCGTAGGGTATGCAACAGCTTTGGCTTTTGCACGAATGGGTACGTCCGTCCGGGGAAGTACCACGAGCTTACAGAACACCGGCGTGAAGTGGGAGTCTTCTAAGTTTCTTCTGGTGAGTGAGGGTAGCTGGAGTCCAACTTATTAAAATGTGGCATCGCATCTGCAACCCTCCAGATGTTTAAATGTCCATGGCGGCGGAACTTAACATAGGGTGAACCGTCTGCTCACTTGACAACTTTTCACATAAAAAGATTTTGTGTTCGACAAAAACGGGATCTGAAACAATATCAAACGATTATAAAAATTAATTTACATGCTGATATCGAACCTTCGAACGCTTAGGCCTACCGCTCAACTCTCCGCGGATTTGTACCGTTCCGACGGCATTTTTTACACAACGTTATCTAGTCCCAAACTAAGCAAGACTTATTCTATGCATACTAGGTAACTGATAAACATGCTTAAACGTAATTTTCTTTTTTAAATCAATACATATTACAGATATATAAACACCCAGACACTAGAAAAAAATTATGTTCATAACACTCTCAATCTCTCAATTCTCTTTAATTATTTCTCTGGCGCAAGAGCCAGCGTCACTATCCACTACGCCATAGTGGACAATTACCTCTTTGGCTGTCGCTAATAACTATTTGCAAAACAATGGAGGTTCGTATGTCGATACTCAAGAGGGAACAACGTCCCTCCACCATGAGCCAAGGTGAAATAAGTCTACAGGCCTTGCAATAGCAAAGTTGAAACACCATGTTGGTATTGTGTTGTTTTAATTTAGTCAAGTTCCAAATATCTTCATTTAAAAAGACGCTTGTGCGTTCTAATAAAATGTCGAATTTTACGTAATAATTGATTCGAAAGGCACTTTCTGTGTGAAAAGACCGGGAAGGAACTCAACAGTTGATCTCTTGTTTAAAAACATCAGATTACAATATAATATAGGCATAATTTGCTTATTTTAGCCTACGTGAGTATCAACAGTATTAATCCGACACATTCCGCAATGTTATAATTACATGCTTTATTACCAGTGTGTTTTTACTATTTCTAACATATTTATTTATTTTGTATTTTCTTCAACGTTTTTCTATGTATTTTGATTTTATTTATATGTTGAAAGTTTTCTATTATAGACATCTTTCAAGTGTGTAGATGTAGTTGACGTAATTAATGTCTTTATAATGAAAATGTAATGTGATGGCTCGGTCGGCCAAGCTACCGCGCTGCTTCGCTACCGCGGATCGCAGGATCGATTCCTACGCAGGCAAGTATTTGTAGGCAGATAATCATTCCGCATCTGGGTTTTTGTCCATTGCCACGGGATAATGTTGATCTGACAATTTAAAGTATAGACTCAGACTCTAATAAATACATAATATTTATAATCAAGGTGCTGTTATGACAAAATAAATGTAATGTCAAGCAAATAAGAGTTCTACACCTTTTGCTGTAGCAAAGTTATAAGCAAAAATATAAATAATAAAAAACAGATGGATGTTTCTTTATGATTCTTTGAGCATGAATAATTTGATAGGATATTCATCTGGATGATCTAGATGTTAATCTATAATGGCACAATGTTCCAGATGTATAAAAACATTCTGTTAGTTCTTTAATAAGTTGTTTCACAAATAAAAGTAAACGCATTTTCTGATTCAATATAAAACTTGAACACACAACAAAAAGTAAGAGTCTCCATGTAATATTGCGGGTTAACGAACTGCTGTTTACTGAGGGTATTTTGGTATATTGACATCTATCTACGAATTATTTATTGGTCTATTTCTCACACATGCAGATTACCTTCGTTTTTTCGTCCAACATCTGCGTTAAAGAGCATATTGAAAATAAAAATAACATTTTATTGATGTGATCCTAATGGACTACGGAGCTAATCCTCCTAATTTTAAAATGCACCCCATGCTATATAATAGTTTAATACAAAATAAATATTATACTTCTGCGGTTCGTCTGGTTATTGAGATAACTGGGACCAAAATTTTAGCTATCGCATCTCCAAGCCCTCTGGTGTTGTAGATGTATATGCGGTGATAATAAATTAACATCTGGTGAACGACTTTAACATCAAGTGAACTTGGCAACTTTTCACATACAAAAGCCATATGATAATGATGTACAAAAATTATAAAGCGACAACCAATTATTTGAAATGACTGAAAATACAAAACCTAGCTAGTTACGGACGAAGACCTCATTGGTACATTAATCGTGAATTGGTCTCTATCTAATGTCTTATGGATATATTAATGTTTTCTGCTTTCGTGGCAGGTAAAAATGCTATTTGATACCGATTTACGTTTGAAAGTACACTCAATCTATTTATTATACGAACGGCAGAGATAATGCTGCCAAGACGAATTCATTGCCACGCAAAATTTAATTGCAGTTAGTCAATTTAAATAGCAGATTGCGAGTGTCAAGACTAATTAACGCCGCTATGTCCTTAAGTACACCATGGCTAAAAGATAATAAAGGAGTATAAAAAGTGTAAACAAGAGTCGGCGAAACTATTCATTTGAATTTGCTCCGCTTATGCCTTCGGATTAGTTTATTTCCGGCCAGTACTGGTGTTTTTTTAATGTGAGAAGGTGTCAAACGAGCTGGCAGTTCACCTGACGTTAAATTCAACCCTCAAAATAAATGCTATAACGCAACTAGTGACGAATGATTCAGTGATGGGTGTGACGACTCATCCTGTTTCTGGGCAGACTATATCGGCTCCGTCTAAAGAAATTGTAATTGTATTTATAAATGTCTGGCCTAACGCCTGCGGTTACGAGAACTGGGAGTGCAAGGTTCGATATGTGAGGTTTTAATCACCCGGATACGTGCACTCGATAGGTGAATTATCTACATTGATTTGTGTTAACGGAATTTGGCCGAGCTAGTGATTGCCTGTTACCAGTTTGGTTTATTACAGTTATCTACCGAAGTTATCTTGAGTGGTACATATCAGAAGTTAAAATGGGGTATATCGATGTTCCGCTCCCTAAAACTTTCGGTATTCACACTTAGCTTACGTACATCTGCAGACCACCAATGTATCCCCGCACTGAGCTTACACCACTTGTTGCCGTTTGTTTTTATATCCCTTTTTATCATGTTAACGTAAGTACAAATTACACGAGTCATATCAACTTTTTGGGCGGAAAACTAATGCTTTAGGCTCTGGGACTTCTTATGGAACTTACCGGTGCCGAACTTTATCATCAGGTTACTCCTCTTACCGCAGCGATACGCTCACGCTTCCTGTTTTGTCATACTTCTCGGTTTACTTAAACGAATTTCAATTACATACTTGTGAGATCTTTAGAAAACTTATTTTCTGAATCGCAGCTCCTAACATAATTCCAATTTTACGAAGATTTCATTGAAATTTCATTTCCCATGACCTTCCGCGTTTTCAACTATCGCATAAAAGACATATAGTGACCTGATATCATAATTAAATAAAGGCATGAAAAATAATATGATAGACACGTTAACTTAGGCTACTCGTGCCTATATGTGTTGTATCTCTTCCCGCATTGCAAATTTGTAGAGACTTTTTGCAACCCTTTAGCTGTTTTAAAGCCTGTGCGTATTGTATGGTCTATCACCACAGAGGTCATTGGCACTTCCCTGCCCAAGGGAGCCACTCAGCCATGCCTCTAGGACGCGGCAGGCATATAAAACGCCCCGCACCATCGCACGCCATCAGTCTGCTTCGAATCGCGGTACCAACATGGCTATCAAAGTAAGTGCCTCCTGTTTTCCTACGCACGTGGAAAGTGACAAATATTTTTACTTCTAACTAATTTCTACCTAACTCCTAAGTTTATGCGGCCATAACAAGTGTGGTAATCAAGCCGTACATAGTATATATTATAATTTGATCGTAACATGCATGTCACCCAAAAGGGTAAGGTGACATATAGGATTTCCAATATCCACTTTCATTGCATAATCTTTTAGTTGTGAGATTATATATACATGTTCTGGGAAAATATTTATCGGTATTATTATACTTACATTTAACATAGAAGACGTAATTTAATAACCCTGGTATAACTTCGAATAGTTCAAATTCGTGTTACTTCAATCAGCTTCCTTTTTAACACAATTTTATTAACTCACCGTTTCAAAGTCATCTTCCACAATCTTCTTCTTTATGTGTGCAAAACACTGAGGTTTTGTTACATCGTTAACAACGTTATATGTAACGTAAGTAAGTATTACATATGTCATAATTAAAAAAGTACGGACGGAAATAGAATGGAAATTCTAACTTAATTATATCACACGATTATTATTGAATAAGAATAATGTAAAAAAATATTGAGGTCGATCACGATCTGTTCTATAATACATAGTGTGTGAATTTCCCAGTATACAAACAGATATTATTGATATGTCGATATGTGAGTTTTTATTACGAAGTCTCTGGAGGAGTGTCAACGACACGAGATATTCTTGTAAAGCATTACTGTCAACTTGCTTATTATAATTACACTTTCTGCATCAATCAAACTTATTTGAATAAATTTAAATCATTTACATGAATATCTACGAATAAATTAATAATTTAAAGTCTGACTGTGATGTTGGTACACAAATATCAAAAATGAATCAAAAATAAAATATCAAATATTTACAATTACCGTGTATAAAGATAGCACCGAAGAGGCCATATAAAATTTTAGAAATTTCATGAACAACCAAGTTCACTTTGCAGGTAGGTCTCGTCTTCTGCGCTGCTCTCCTTCTAGCTGTGGCAGCGGCCCCAGCTGACGTGGAACAGCTGGAGCCAGCTCCTGAGAAGGAAGACCTGCAGGTGGCCGCATCCCACTGGGGAGGCTGGGGAGGGCACGGGGGCTACGGCGGCCTCTGGGGAGGCTGGGGTGGCTACTACCCCCACTACGCCAGCTACTGGTCGTGGCCCCTCTACGGCCATGGCTACGGCTACGGCTGGCCCTACGGCTACGGGATCGGCCACCACGGCTACTGGTGGAAGTGAGAACAGCCAAACGTCAGTTTGAGAATTTATGCCAGTATTATTTCATAAGTTAACAGCCTAATGGTATTGAATAACTGTCTGAGACTTTTATGGCTGTCTGTCTGAGATATTCATATATCGTGAAATTAATGGAGTATTAGACAAATTTGTCTTGGCCGGAATATAATCAGGGTCTGATTGTCCATCAACTAATGTGATCTTATTTATGATTGACTGAAATCAAAGAGTATGGGAAAGGCTAACTTAGGCCGCTTTAATAAATGAAATCAGATGTTCAGTTCCACCTTTGAATGTTTGTGAAGTAATTATAAGAGCTTTGTGCAATCAATTATCTAAGTGTAGCATGAAAGTACTGATCATACGTAAGAATGCTTGCCCTTCTACATATTTGTATAAGTTAATATATTTTTTACAAATAAAGGATGATTAAAAAAAGGGTATAATTAAAATATAGCATAAGTCTCGGTTAAATCGTAGAATAATTAGTTAAGTTATAGGTTTTATTATCTGATGTAAATTTTAAATAAATAAAATTTTACCATAAAGCTATTTTATTTTTTATAGTTGAAACAAAAGAAATGACTGACTCACTATCTAATAGTGCAGTTTCGACTTATTTCGTTGGAAACTCGCGGTCATACTCGTTTCGTAGCCAATGTAAGCTGAAAGAAGTCTCAACCGTCGTTGGAATTTATGAAAAGGGGAAAGGGATAACAGCTATCCTTGCGGCCTACACTGTGAGAATTTCTTTTTATACAATCAGCCAGCACAAAAACGGTCAATAAGCACATGCAGTGCTTCGGATAACACGGCTGCGGTAGAGCCATAAAACAGTTTCTTCTTTCGTATGATAAAATCGTACAGGGAAAAACGACTATTATGTTAATGAGGTAACGGGGGCCAGTAATTTAGAGGGTGACAACCCCACGAGCGTTGTAGATCTCAATGTGTCTTAACGTGTCGGGAGTCACAAATTCAAATTGAAACATCTTCGTTCAATGCAGAATTATTTCAATTACTTCTTGACTCTCGGAAACACAACTACCGGGCGGAAAAAAGGCCACTGAGCTGAGAAGACCCGACGAAAGAAACTCAGAGGGACAAATTTTTTTAAACATACTTTGACAAATATAACGAACGTATACATTATATTCAATTCCACTTTAAAGAGACAGGAGGGATCAATTAATTTCCAGAGTGTGTTATCATTTAAATAATCACTAATACTGTAATAGTCTCTCACACACATACTCGTACGTTCCTTTACAAGTTTTTTGAATTTAGCAACTGATTCATTTTTAACGTTTTCTGTTATTTTGTTGTAAAACCATATACATTGTCCGATAAAAGATTTACTTATTCAACGCAATCTAGATGAGGGTAGAATTAATTTATGTTTGTTCCTAATATTTATATTTTATATCATGTACATGACTAAATCCAATACAATACATATTCTCAATATATACATTTGCAAGTATATATTGAGAATATGAAGCAATAGTCAATATTTTTATTTCTCTAAACAAGTTTCATAGCGATTATTTCGGGCCCAGGTAATAAACAGCTCTCTTTTGCAGGTAGAAGATAACATTTATGTCGGCCGCGTTTCCCCAAAGTAGAATGCCATAAGACATTAAACTATTAAAATAACTAATATTCACCAAGCAAGCCGCCCACATCAGTCAACTGTCTTATTTTCTTAACCTGTTCACTCGCCAGCTTATTAATATGGAGGCTTCATTGCATGGTACTTCTTCTGTGGAGCTTGCCTTTCCGGACAGAAGGAGCCTGGAATTACCAAATTAAAGTTCATGATATAGGTAATCTAAGTAGCGGTGCGCTAACCGTTAAAGAAGTTAATCAATCTTACAAGTAAACAAATAAAATATAACTATAATTTAAAATTTTATCTTTATAATATTAAACAATAAAACGGCAAACTGCATTGGAAATGACTTTCGTTAATAATTTTTAACTTCTCACATTTTCCTTTAACCGTTAACTTTTCATATTTTCCTACAATCCTCATGAAGTCCTGACTAAGAAAACATTCAATTACTGCCGCTAATCTGCAATATGTTTCACTAGAATTAGCTCTACAATCAATCAGATAGCATATAAATTAGTGTCAGTAAAATGTATGTAAGCTTAAAAAATTTATCAAATTAAAAAAAAAGAAAATTTTATATACGAGTAACTTTTCAAGCTTTAATCTTTTACAATCCCTAAAAGTTGGTTGCAATACCTTCTCTCTTTTTTATATTATTGAGCAAACTGACTTTATCTTGATTCGTTTTTACATTATATAATACAATGTATGGCGATTTGACGAAGAAATTCGCTTGGTGGTTATATATTTTTTTAAATATTTTTCAATACTTGTTGTACAACGATGCAGTACAAAGCATGCAATAAAAATAATTAATCCAACAGAAAACCAGCTTAAGAGGGACAACATAAAATTTGTACAAAAATGGTTATAGAAACATTTGTAAAAGTTTCTCACTTTCATCTCTGATTTTGCTAAAGGCACATAAAGGTTTAAAGAAGGTCTACATAGATTCCACATTAAAAGGACACATCTAAGTCATAAATAAAGGGAAATAAACGCATTAATTTACAGTGTTAGTCTGGTCTGAATATCGGAATATAAATAGTATGTAACGCGACTCTATCATTAGTTGGATTTTTATACAATTTCAGTATAGATTGCCTTACATGCATATTTACTTGACTATATAATTGTAGTAAAGTAACAGCCTATAAATTTTCCACTGCTGGACAAAGGCCTCTTCTATAAAGAGGGTATCAAGGCATAGTCCACCACGCGGCCCCACTGCGGATTGGCGGACTTCACATATTTTCGAAACGTTTTTTTTGTTTAAATTATTATTTCGAAAATGAGCACGTGATAAGTCATATTATTATTATTAATTGAAGGCGAGCGCCCGGCAACTGAGATATCACGACTCCGCCTGTTGTAGTAATTAATGTAAAGTAAAAAAATAATATTTAATATTTTGTTTTAATGAGATATACACTGATGAGTTTAGGTTGAGTAAGTTAAATTGATGATCAGTAGTGAGCAAACTTTCTGTGTTATATTATTGCTAATATTATTACTTAGGCGCAAGAAGATTTTGAAAGAATTCTTGAACTACTAATAACCAAAAGTACTAATGAACTTTTATATATTATATGACCTGTACAAAAACATGGAACATTTTATAGTCAAAATTGTAACACAGATGCTCTAGTAAATTTATTTTAATTAAGACAGAGTGGTAAGTAAGAGTTTATTTCTAATGACTCATAGCTTTATTTACGCCATTTAAACGTCTTAAATTATTCTACATTTTTTTTTGTGACAAAGTGGCAAACGAAATGGCGGTTCACCAGATGTTAAGAGGTAGGGTTGCAGATGCATTGCCATCCTTAAATTAAGTGAGCCCCGGCTATCTTACTCACCAGACGAAACGTACTAAATACTTCTATTTTACGCCGGGCTTCTGTGAGAACGTGGTATTTACCCGGACGGACCTGCCTATTCGTGCAACAGTGAACAGTGATGCGTGGCCCTACCCGTTAAGTTATATTTTGTTACACAATAAACATATATAGTAATTTAGTATCAACAAAATTACCATGGCCAGACAAAAATATTATTTTCTGTCAAACTAAATAATCTTGATACGTATAATGATTATAAAATATGAAAAAAAAAATTCAAAAGACTTATCTGCGTTCACTTATACATTCCGTTTACTAACTGAATTTACATAAACTGTCCATAACATATATGATAAATCTATATCAAGACAAGGTAAACCAGATTTCATAAATTTTACTATACGCACTCGCGGCTAATATTTATTTATAACTCAATTTATCATAGCTGCATTCAATTTTTCATCGAAATGGAATATATTGATTGTGAAGTCACAAATCAAAATATTGTTCTTTACTAGAAGAATTATATTTTGTATTCGATCGGGGATCCCCGTACGGATATCAATTCGTACAGGGCTCGTACAAAGCTATATAACGAAGCTATAAAGAAAGCTTCCTTGTATTTAGCTTTAAGGTTCTAAGGTTCCTAAATTTAACACTATCACTGGACTATACCCTCATCTTTTGGTTTTGTCAGATAAGCTTTTAATGTCTCCTCGTCGATCATTTTTCTGCTCATATCTCTGACTCTGATTCTTCTGCAGCCCAGCCTACCGGCAAGTAAGAATACATACTGCATTACAAAAATAGAAAAATAGTGAAATCTAGAAAAATAGAATAAACAATTTATTGTTTTATGAAGAATCATTAAAGTAAGGGATTCTTAAATATGATGATACAATAACATACATTTGCTCTTTAAAGTATTGGTTTTACTATATCATTTATAATATTCAAGAGAGGAAAGTCACAGCAGTACCGGATCCGTATGACGAACCGCATCAAATTGATTCGATTGGGGGTCGGCAGTGACCTCGCTTCCGGAGAGGTCGCGACCTTTTCAAGCCATCTGGCTTCTTGCTCTCGCGTCGAAACTTGTGTCATCTCAAATACATTGACGACATCTATTTGATGTGGTATATTCTTAAATCACTCTGTATTGCGTGATGTTATTTAGCGTGATTTTAGCACATAACCTAAAAATAAATAAATGCACATAACTTAAAGTCACCGCATGTACCTTTCACTTTTCTTTATGATTAATATTTACTTTGTTTCCTTACTTTAGCTTTAAGTTATTGTTTGGAATCGTTTCAAAAGATATAGCAATTTAACGTTAGTTGCACAGGGAAGCAAAGAACATTCTTAATATTAGATAAACTTATTTTTAGATGACGATACAGAAGTCATTCTTGTTATCGTAAAAAGTCAGGGGTATGCAGAACACGATGCATTGTATGCATGTAGAGGAACAACTTCCGGGATACAGAATGATTGATAATTATAATATTCGAATATCATCAGAAAAACAGTAATGCAATAAA